ATGACTGAGAATCTCCACCAGCATGTAGTGGTTATTGTTTGGTGGGGGAGGGGCAATTCAAACTCTAAATTAATAGGTCCTCACTTGGTTAGTAAATAAGTTGAACATGCATTTAAGACCTTGACAGAACAAACCAGGTTAGTCATTAAACCTCAGATGATCAGCATCCATCTGATGCACAGCTTTCATTGGTTGGATGTCATAGGAAGTGTCCGTTTCCTTGGTGACGCTCGTTCAGTCTGAACAATCAGCTGACCTCATTAGCAAATGAAAGGACACATCTTTGTTTATGCTTTCAGTCCCGTTCAGCTGGTCCCCAGTTATTCTTTATCCTCAGCAGGTTAAACTAGATATTTAGGATTAAATCTGAAAACCAGTTTAGTTTGCAGTCTCTGAAGTAAAAAGAAAATGTTTTAATGTTTTCTGTAAATCTGTGGTTGTGATTGGGACTTCTTTCTTGTGTTCATCCCTGCAGGAGATCGATGCCTTTGATAAAGAGTTCCTTAGCGTGGTGCAGCGTCTGCCTTCATGCATTGCCACTCTGCAGGCTCTGTCCCGGCTGCCCCTGCCCTCCACCTTCGACCAGCTGCAGCACTTCTGCAGCACAAACGAAGCAAAGTTCCTGCAGCTCAGAAGGTTGGTTCAGATGCTGTCGGCTCATAGGCTCGCCTTCCTTTGCCGTTTAAACGGAAGGACATGTTGGCACAAACTCCTTGATCCCTGAGAAAATAACAAAAACATGACGAGTTGTTACTACGGATTCAAACCTGTGTTGCTCATTTTACAGCCTGTAAACACGCTCCTTGTAATTCAGGCCAGGCTGCATTTTACACACAAAGCAGAAGAGTTTTAAATTTCTCTTTTGTTTTTAACAATGTTGTCAAGCCTGGTGGCATCCGGGGAAATCTTAATTCATTCAACAGTAGTGGTTTGGGAGGTGGAGGCCCACTGGTTAGGGCATAGAGCTTGGAATCCAGAGGATCTGAGTTCAAACCCCACAACCTGCCACTCTGGGTCCATGAGCAAAGACCCTTTACCCCACACTGCTCCCTGGGAACTACACAATGGCAGCCCACTGCTCCCCAATCAGATGGGTTAAATGCAGAGGGTGAAGTTCGTTGCTCTGTATTCTGACAGAGTAATAAAGCTGTTATAGTTTCGGCATCTGGTAGCAGGAATCTGATTGGACTGGAGAAGAAAACTGGCTCAGTGCAGCTCTACTGGTTCCCTCTGCTCCTTTGGTAAACTGGGTGACCTGGTCAGGTTTGATTGATTCACCGTATCAGACCCCAAACGTTTTCTACTTTATTCATTGAAAGGTTTCCTTGAGCAAACAGACGTACCTGAATTGTTGACTGTTTGCTGTCAATAATTTTTCAGATCAGGAGGATTCCAAGTTGATTTCCCACATTGTTCTGCCAGAAATAACTGGCCAGTTTTTAAAGTGTAAAAAAAAAAAGAAAAGAAAAAAAAATCACTTCAAAATAACCCCCCATATTAATTGGTCATAGAAATGGCCCCCTTTGCCTTAAATGTTTGTAGTGTTGGTCACTTTGAATAACTGACCATTATATGCAGCACGTAGCAAAGCGCTAACATCGCCTTTAGCTTAAATGTGATCATTGCAGTTGTGTTCTGTGACTAAACATGTCGCTTCATTCAGGAGTTTGTTTTATTTTGCGGGATAGGAGTTGGGCGTCTTTAATCCACAAACAAGGACGTAACAAAACTTTCAGGGTTTGAATTGATCAAGCTTTGTACTGAAGCAGATGTCTATTCAGCTGAGGGTGGGCAGCTCCTTCCCAGGACTCATACGCACCTAAAAGTACTCCCATGGGTAGATGAATTTCTTTCTTTCAGCCTCACATGGGTATTTATTTTTTAATGAAGGAAAAAATGTTTCAGTTTACTGGTCAGAGCTGATAGACTGTCCAATGATTTCTACTGATTCATTCGTTAACTGCTGCTTCAGGCAAACACTCTACTGATAGAAAAAGTTGGTGGGGAAACGATAAGCCGGGTCCTTCTGAGAATAATAAACATCCGAGGAACACTGGAAGTGTTCGGGTTTAAATCGGCATGGAGAGGGAATAAAAACATCTCATTTTGCACCTAAAGCTGCATTTCTGCACTGAAACGAGATCCTCTACAGCTGCAGAGCGAACGGTGAGAATGGAGAGGAGGAGAAAATAGGCAATGGCCTAATGAAGCACAGGGTGAAAGGTAGATTAATGTTTCCATTATGATGATATGATTCTAATCCAGAATAATCCA